CGCCCCCTCCCCTCCCCTCAATCAGGCACTCCTCCCCCTCCTCGCTGCTGGAGTAGTAAACACGGCGTGACGAGCGGAGCGCAGCCGCGCCGGCCGCCTCTAGCCCGGCCCAGCGCCGAGCCGAGCCGGGGCCGCGCGCCGTCAGCTGATCGCACGGCGGCTGGCCGGCTGCTCGCGGCACAGCCTGGTGTGGTGTGGTGGTCCTTAGTCGCTCGCGCGGCGCGCTCCGAGTGCCTAGCAGGCAGCAGGCCCTCCTGCCGCCGCCGCCACCCGCGCCTCCGACGCGAACCCGACCCGCCGCTTGTCGCGCTGCTGCTGCCGTTGTTGTTGTTGTCATTGGAATCGCGTCCAGTCGAGTGTGCACGTGTGTGTGTTTGTGTAGGTGTGTGAAATAGTGGGGAGCCGTGTGAGAGGTGCCTGTGTGGGTGAAGTCTGGTGCGTCAGGTTGTGCACGGCTGAAGCGCGCGCTGCCCTCGTCAGCCCGTATGGACCTTGCTCTGTGTCACATCCTGGCCTAGTGCTCCTCCTCCCGCTGCTGCTGCTGTGGTGGGGCGGGTCGACCCCGACTCTGTTGGCGGCAATTTAAAGCCAGTTGATGGGGTCCAACCCCGCCGCGCCCCGGCGGCGGCCCCCCTGCGGGAGGGACTTCCCTTTGCACGCCGCCCAGGTGGTGCGAATGCGCCGCTCGAGATAGCGAGTGATGTGAGTCACTCGGTGCGTTGCGCGCGTGTGTCCCAACAACACAGCGCAAGGTTCCTGACCCCGAGGCCCTTCTGGTGCGTGGGAGTAATAAAACTGAGTGAACCGGCGAGCCCGATTAGAGCGGCGGATAAAAACTTGACCCGCAGTTAATTCATTGTTAGTTGTACAATCGAGGAGGACCAGCAATAAGTAAAAGACAGTGTGGTCCATTTTTTTTTTTGCTCTTTCCCCATTTGGGTCCCGCCGCAACTGCGCGCGCGCTGCGCCGCTGTTCACTTCGTTATCTCGCTATCAGACGGCGTGACGCTGCCGGGCGGCGGACTAGCCTAGGGAGCCTAGGCCAGGTGGGTGTCGGGGAGAGGAGCGGGGCGGCGAGTCGTGCGCGCCCGGCGCCGGCCTGGAGTCGGCCTGGAGTCGGCCTGGAGCCGCTGGAGGCAGACCTGGAGGCTCCTGACGCACCAAACTCTGCCCACGAAGCGCGCCCGCCGGGGCCGTGCCGGTGGGGAAGCAGTTTGACCCAGGATGTGATCCAGGAGGGGTTTATATTCAGGATGCAATCTGGAGAAGGTGCGGATGTGATCGGGATGGGTCGTGACGCAACGCCAGAGTGATCTCCGACCGCAACAAGAAGATGGCGTGCGCGTCCGCGCCGCCGGGACGCCCCGCGGACTGGCACGAGGACGCCGACGATGACGTCTTCACCGCCGGCGTGGTGCGCGGCGCCCATGTGAACCACCTCAACCACATCAACCATGTCAACCACGCCAATCATCTCAGCAACGGCCGGCCGCTCACCTCAGAGGCCGACTGCCCGGCGTCCGGGATGCTGTGGTCCTCGTCGGCGTCACGCTCCGAGGACGAGCCGGACAGCGGCTTCAGCGGCGGCCCCTGCTCGACGTCGCGCACCCCGGAGGCCGAGGACGACCCGCCGTCGACGCCGCCCATGACGACGTCGTCGGCCTCGTCGACTGCCAGCCCCACCCCGGGGCGCGCCCGCGCGTCGTCGCTGTCCTCGTCGGACGAGCGGTCGCCCTCCATGTACGTGTCGGCGGCGCCGCCGTCGCCGCGCTTCCGCATCGGGTCGCTGGTGCGGGGCGCGCTGCAGACCATGTCGCTGCGACGCAGCCGGCGCCTGCCCCTGGCGCCCCATCGC